GTCTTTTTTCCCTGACTTGTGGCTTAACTTGATGCAAGACAGGAATGATTCTCGCGTCATATTAGGCATCTTATCCGCCAGGTTCTGCTCGTAAATTGCATCGAACACCTCTTGGTCTCGAAGAGTTGCGGGCACGCCGACTACTATTATTCGCGGCCTTCTTTTGTGAGGTTCTTCGACTTTCAGGCCTGAACTGGTCAGCTGGCTCGATCGACGGAGTTTTTCAATGTCCTCGTTTGATTCGGTGCTAATTATTACACCTCCGTTCCTCGTTTTTCGCATCCCTCTAACGTGCAATTTCATTTGCTCTGGATTAATAATCTTTTGCACGAGCGTTTTGGTGTCGTCACTGGATTTTTGTGCATCGTTCGGATAAATTGCGATTGACTTCAAATTAGAGGGCCGCAGGACACTTGATTTGTTGGTCTTTAAAATATCAGCAAAGGACATATTTTGAGCCACAGGTTTACTGCAATTTTCTTGAATTGTTTCCTTAATTGACTGTTTAAAGTCGTTCAGGCAAGCAGCAAGGTCCTCCTTTTCTCTTAAGGCTTCCAGAGATGTTTTTATCTGGCAAGCCCTTTGTTTTAAGGTCTGATAGTGGATCGCCATTTGGGAGACTCCATTACCGACCCTTCGTGCCAGAGTGTTAATATTAAGCTTCTGCTCAGAGTTCAACTTACCCTCTGCAGCAATCTGGCACACATCATTGAGAGCCTTTTCTATTGTCACCATCCAACCCTTAATGTCACTGGTCGAGAGTGCTTCCAAGGTCTCTTCGGCAGCATGTTCTGCGGGTTGCGGAGTGCTGGGAGGGCTGCGACACGTTTTCGAACTCCGATTAAAAGGGCTATTTTCTATGTTAGCCATGTTAACGTTTAATTATGTAACATAGTGTATTACAAACTAAACAAAATTTATTAAATGTTGAATAATCTAGGTCAATACTTGATTGACTAATTGTTTACATGAATAAAAAATAAATATTGCAATTAAGGCACGTCTACTCGCCGTCGTGTTCTCGCAAATATGATCACCATCGGTTTTATCACCCTCGAAAACCATGAAAAGGACACCCATGACGATAAATTGAAAAATTTTGTGCAGACGTCAGCCCTGTTCATTTCCATTTGCTGATTTACTTTATCCAAGTTTTCGAAGATATTATTCATAATAGCTAGTCATTAATTGATTAATTACTAGTCATTACGAATAATATCAAATTAATCACTTTGGCTGTAACATATGTATATACATTTAGGTCAAACTGATACTCCTTTTTTAAAGTCGGTTAAAAAAGAATCATCAAAATACGTTAAAAAACGACGAAGTCATCCCTAAAGGAATATAAAAAAAAACCTTATAGGTATATAACTTTTCCTTTTTTTTAAGTCCGTTATAAATAACAAAGGTCTGGGGTTCATAGGCTCTTGTACTATATGGATTGTCAAATTATTATTTTTTACGGCAACGCTGGGGCTAAAAAAATATTAAAACATTACAATAATAATTTTCCAAATTATTTAGATAATAAATAACTATTAAAATAATATTGTTAATAATTAGATATTGATATTAAATACTTTTTTATATTATCTCCTTATTTCTATAAAATAGTATGCATGTAGTTTGTACTATTTTAATACTGGCATATAATATGTATACTTTTTGCTTAATAAAGAAAAGAAACAAAAACAAAAATTTGAAATGTCAAAATTGTAAAAATTTTTGCCAAAAATATTTTAAATTATTTATATTTAATAATTTGTGATGGGATTTTGTGATTGTTTTTCTAAAAAAGGAAGTTCTGCGATGCGTGTTGTGTTTTCTATAAAGGACCTTTTGTATACATGTGTATCACAAATCACAAAAGTACATTGTGTTTGTTTGTCTATTCATTGGACTTGATTTTACAAAGGAACGCTTTAATTTGCGTATATATCTTTCTTATTTATAATAAAGAACATCAATACGAAGAATACAATCATGTTGCTGAAGGTAAAACCTACAACAAGTTTATGATTTTTGCTATTGAACCTATTTATACATTTTATTTGATTCATTGAGATACCAAACTATGTAGTTTTTATAAATTTCTACTTTTTCTTTTGTATATTTGTTACAGTGATATTTGGAATTGCTATTGCATCGATATTACTTCAGCATCATCATTGCAGAATATCAATTTTTTATCGGCAGTTACGAGTCTTACGATGTCCGGATAAAGTGCCGATCTATACCAGCAGTGCTTGAAACCTATTTTAGAGATGGTAAATACTATATTATTCTTGTAACATCAGTAATATCACGTAAGGTACACCTACCTTAGATAAATAAAAGAAAACAAATAAATAAAATACATATTTCTGCATGTAAAAATAATCTTTGTTTTTTTTTCAGGTACTATTTAGAATTATTCTAACATTCAGACGTATATTGTTGTCTCAAGAAACAAGAAACCCATAGATCGCTGCAAATATTAAAGCCGTATTATTTTTGTAAAAATATTTTTTATCTTTGTATTAATGTATATATCATAATTAGAACAACATTTTAAGTACCTACGCACAACAAAGTAATATTAAATTATAAATAAACTAAAATAGGTACATATTCACACCTTAAAAAAAATGTTACCTTAGGGCATTAAAAATTCTTTTTCATCGCTATCGTGGAGTAGGGTGCCCAAAAGACTGGCAGCATTATTCTAGGTTTTACTTATTTGTATTCATATATGTAGAGGTCTCTCCTTCTTGGGCTTGACCTGGTGAAAATGGGCACCGCTTCCCGCAACCCGCAGGAAAAACGATGCTCATAGCCCCTTCTAAATTTGACTTATAAATCTCCTTCTTTCTCTTCTGCTGACTACTTGACTACTAACTGGGTGTAGTTTGTGTGCCAGATGTGGATTGTGAGCTTCATGTGATGGTTGACTGAGTGGTATGTGGTGTTTGCGCTTGAGATGGTTGTAATTGATCGGAATCTGGAATGTATGTGACGAAAACTGTCTCCTAGTACTTTGCTAAGAATGATTATTGTGTGAATGGTGGCTAATGTCTATTTATGTTTCTAGTTTGTCTGTGTATCTGCTGAGGCTTTTGGCTAGTACCTACTCCTGTGGCTCCAATTACTATAGAATTAACATGCGTTTCAATATTGCGTATAGCCTTGAGTTGTGTCTTTAAAAAGTGGTATTTACTGAATTTCTTTTGCTCCTATGTTGTAGTTACATGGTACAGTTATGTCAAAGAGGTATGTGGTGTTGGATGTTTTGTTTGTGTATATTATGTCCGGTCTGTTGTGGGCAACTGTGAAGTCTGTCTGAATTGGGATTCCCACATTATTTTGCCTGTTTCATTTTCATTTGTATTTATAATAATAATATTACTTTGTTTCATTATAATGTTATAAAAATATTATATTTGAGGATAGGAAAAATCTGTAGTTGTTTAGTAAAAATGACTGTAATATAACTAGATATAGGAAACGACTAAGTCAGGCATTATTAGCAACTAGCAAAAAAAAGTACTAAAAAACTGAGACTGACTGAGAGGCAGACTGAGACTTATTTTTAAGCACTATATTTTTCGACATTATAATAATAAGTGCGACTGCCGGGCAAGGGGTCTCGGTTCGATACCCGGGTCGGGCAAAGTATTACTGGGTTTTAAAAAAATCTCAGTAGTAGTAGAGTAGTCTGGAAATGTGCCCGGTATATGGCAATAGGCTCACCCCCTATTACATGGGACTTATAACATAAATAGTGAAAAGTGGGTGTTACATTGTACAGTGGCATTGAGTGCCGAAATGTGCACCTCTGCCTACCCCTTCGGGGATAAAAAGGCGTGATGTTATGTATGTTATGTTAGTAAATTGTATAATAATTTTGTTTTTGTAAATACTGTAAGCGATTCAAATCGATGGTAAAATGTACTACATTTGTGTAGGTATTACGGTTAATTTATATCATTAGATTGTTAACTACTGTTAGGTACTGTGTAAACAACGGTGAACAGTAAATATTTTTAATTTTAGTTCTTTGTGGAATAATTAAAAAAATACCTAATTCAAATAAATTTTGAACGACATATTTATATCTGAAATTTGTAAACATAAAATTAAAAAGAACTAAAATTTGAATTATTTTAACAAATCTGTCGTCTGATATTTCCCTACTAGCTGATAATTTTTAAATGTTAATTTGTATTTACTGTAAAATAAATGTAATATTGTAATTAATAACTTCTTTGATTTTGCAGCTACCAGACATAGCTAATTCCAATACTACCTTCAATGTACCAACCTGCAAGGTGCATTGTTGGTAGTATTGGCATTAGCTATACTTAGGATTATCTGTAGACATTAGTAAAAAAAAAATATACTAGGATTCAATTTTCAGATGGCGTTTCAAATTGATTGGCATAAATTTTGACGAGTGGTAACTCTTTACCCCTATACTTATTATACTCTTTGGCCGTGACAACCACTTGAATGGTGACGTAAAAATCAATCCGCTCGCACTTGGCATTGGTTCGATAATTTTAGTAGGTGTTGCCAATAACTTTTCATTTAGCTACTATATATAGTCTTAAAGCATTTTAAAAAAAAATTACCGTTGCAGTTTTTATTGTTCGTGCTATTGCTGACTAATGGCTGCAACGTTGGAATTATATCTGATTTATTCATGTTATTTCAGAATTTATTTCGTTACATTTTAATAAATGATTTAATAATCCGTTTGCATAAAAATACCACTGAGAAATGATTTTGCAGCATGGCAGTTATAATGAAATCAAAAGAGTTTCATTTTACGCTAACGCACATCAAATTCATTAATCTATTTATATTTAACTTAATAAATTCACCGGATATTATTTTAAGGATTTTAATTTTTTAAAATGGTCATGGTTACTAATTAAGGCTCTAATTTCTAGTTAATATCTAAATCTAGTTCTATAAAGGCATCGACATAATAGGGACTGTCCCCGGAAGGTAATCACTAATCAGCTGGCACCTGTCACTTTCTGTGTAACGAACCGCGTTGTAGGTTAGGTTACGTCTTTGCAAAAATCTGATCCAAAAATAATTTTGTGATAAAATAGCCTTTTTAAAAAGGTTTCAAGCAAATCAACGATGTCGCTCCTAACCAGAAACGTATGCCGTGCGCTGATGCAGGTATTGCATGAATTTGATCGTTTTTTAACAAAAATACCATAGAATGTCCTGGCTGTCTGTTTCGTAACTTGTCTGTTGTGAATTATTATCTTTTCGCGAATATGTTTACTATATGTACCATTTTATTTAGACAACATAACGTTATCATGTTGTGGGTTAAGATATTGTTTTGATGAAATGCATAATTTTATTGATTTGTTCCGAACTAGCTCACGTGATCTTCTCTAATAATATCAAGTGCTTGAAACCGCAGTATAATAATATGCGTCTCATTTTCCTGACTGGCCAATTATGATAATACTAACAATTAGCTTAAGTCACCGTTTTATGCCGTTATGCTAATGTTCTCTTAGATGACAAAATGAAGTTTCTTTTTAACAATAAATTTTTGTTGTAGCCTATTATTCGGATACGACCACCTTATTCGAGTCAATATTTAAAATAATAATAATGGCATTCCTCTTTACTGGTTTTGACTACATGCTTGGTATTAATTTATTAGAGTACATAAATATTCAATATTTCCAATACAAAAAAGTAGCATTTTATTTAAATTATTTAATTCTTTTCACAGGGAACCTATATGACCCACATGGGTAAAGGTGTTCACACAACTTCGGTAAACGCAGACAAAAACGTATGTTACGCCCCACACAGTATCAGCACCTTGGTGAGCATACTAACTGTCTACTAATACCTCGCTGTACCGTAATAAAGCAAGTATATGAATAAAATTAGTACTTACGTACAAGTTACATTGTATAAATAGTTACATATAATAAAGTTTAATTAAATTTCCTCACTATTTCAAGTAATGCACACGTTAAGCATTTGCTAAGTACCCGTTATGTATTTGTGTCAATATTTCTATTAAAAAAACTTGCTTTATTACCTTTCTGCGTAAACGAAAAAAGTATTGTATTGGTTTATTCAAAATTCAAAGATATTATGATTTACATTAGAATTGGCTCGTGATTTGGTATTCAAAATATGTCAAAGTACTATTTGAATTTGAAATTAATTTAAATATTTAGTTATTTTAATAGGTTTCCTTGTGAAACTACAGAATGATGATCCGTAAGCTATGAATTGTTGAAATGTAATGCATGCAACCCTTTTCCGTATATTTTTATGTCTTAATTGTGTTTTAAAAGACACCATTCTATTCTTCTAATGCCCCTTTTCATAAACGGCTTTTATATTTGATCCAAAATTTAGAATGATATAATTTTTTTTTGTTAAATTATTATGAATAACATAAATAACTTAAAAAATCTAATTTTTACGCTAAACAAGTTGAAAGCAGTTCAAAATTGTAAGAATGTTATTTTACAAATCCTATTTGGTCATACAAATTGATAACTATATTACTTAATACATTGCCATAAACAAACACGCACTTCTCAATATTGACACAATCAATTAGAGAATAGGATGGTCCTCCTATATAGCATGATGTTATACATAACTTAAATGTTAGATATAATTGTACCTACACACACCCTGAAACTGCAGACAAAATTATCGAAAAATTCATGAAACAGAGCTGAAATTCGATTTCAAAATTTGGCATTAGGCTAGCAATACTTGAAAAAATAAAAGGTAAGAAGGGAGGATGTATAAAAGATTCCTTTTTTAAATTATCTAAGCTGCCAGTTCAAAGGGTTGAAATGAGTTTAATGTGTAGCATGCAACCTCATTACAATGTCTGTGTTGTCCAATCTGTTTATAACTATAACATTGGATCATTTAACCAAAAATGGTAGTGTAAATGTATTCACTGCTGTTGTAAAGTTCACTTATTCTTAGACTGAATGATGTATTTGTAAGTACTGCTGATATACTACGGATATACCCAGTTCCTTGGTAAGTAATTTAATTGATACCGAAGAAAATCACGAAGATATTTATTCTTCTACAAAAAAGTCAACATAATTACATTTAGGGGTCTAGGATGACTAATAGACACAAGTCAATTACATGCCAAAATAAAATCTTTGAACTGTAAAATCACGGATCTCGTTAAGATATTTCTTGTTAGTATTTACACTTGAATAGATAAGTACCGTTTGACCTGGCCTTACAGTGTTATCAGTATCTAACATTACGCTGTAAGTCCTAATGATTGTTTCATAGTCTCGCTAATTATTATTTACACTAGTTTATTGCGTCTAGCTGACGACATGTGAATGAAGTGTAATAAATTGATGGTAGTACACATAATTATGTAATATTGTTTATTACAAATATTTTTGAGAATGTTTCAAACTTTATAATCTTAAAGAGTTTTAATAAGTATTTGACTAAGGGTGTACGGTCAACGGTCACAAGTCCAATTACACCATGAAGGTATAAATAGACTACAACACTATACACAGTGTACACTCAGTGTATACATTTAATGTCTATGTATGAACAAGATTGCTGCAATTGGAATATTTATTGTGACACAATTATTACCTAGTGTCGTATAAGCCTTATTATGTGCTATATAACTGGGAATGGTACAGATATTTAATGTCTGTACAGTCTCTGTATCAGAATTTGTCTTGTAGTCTAAATGTATGTTAATGACCATTATCGCTTGCGCTATACGAGCTGCGGCATACATATCTTAAAGAAAGTCTAAAGTCACAAGTACAATTATAATTACTATGCCATAGATTTGTTAGATCAACTAGAGATAGAAAATGGATAGATTAACAGCTTAAGTATGTCAAAATTTTATTTAGTGTTCAAATATACTGACTTGTAGGACTTTCCAATAAAGTACACTCGGCTAACAGATAGCTTCACTAAACCGGATATCATGACCTCGCTTTATATGATCTTTTCATACATGCGACGGTCAGTTTATACTGGTATTGCACAGCTTAATGTGAGATCTACCATACCTAGGGAGCTGTGAATTCTTTATTAGGGCAAATCATTATCATGTTTTCAATTTAAAAATCTTCTCTCAGGATTTGTGTTTTTAGGAAATATTTTATCCGCTCTATTACATGGGATTTATTAAATAATTTATCTTGTACTAGCGACCCGCCCCATCTTCGTATGGGTGCAATATGTATATATTATACATATAAATCTTCCTTAAGAATCACTTTATTTATTTAAAAAAAACACATCAAACTCCGTTGCGTAGTTTGAAAGACGAAAGCATACATAGGGACAGACAGATGGCGGATAGCGACTTTGTTTTATACTATGAAGTGATATTTAATTATTAAAACTTTAACATAAGACAATACATAAATAATATATTTTTTTTACACATTAGAACGAATAGGAATTCTATTTCTGTCACAATAATGTTGATAATTGCTTTAATATGTATGTTTGACTGTATAGCAATCGAGTTCGACAGAGGGTCGCATCAAGTGCACCTTGATTCCCGGCGATGGTGTCGGCCCTGAGTTGGTCTACTCTGTACAGGAAGTTTTTAAGGTAAGTCTAAAACGTAACAGAAGTTTTATCTGTCTGAAGCTTCAACAGGTAGACTAGTTATGACTGTGTGAAGTTACTTTTGTAAAAATACATAAATTCTCGCCTGTCTCCAATGTAGGTAGGCACAGGGTAGAGACTATGGAACGCCAATTGCTACGATTCTTACATACCTCTTTCGCTTCATCAACAGTCATCAGTCTTTTTAAGCATGCTCGTCGGTTAAAGGTACTTTTAATTTGGCCCTTGACATATCGCCAATGGATATAAATCGTCTAGAAAAGATAATGTTGATAAGTAAAGTATTATGATTTCATTTGGACGCAAAATTATTTAATTGATGAACTGCAATTTAAATAATATTGAACTCTATGTTGCTGAGTTTATTGGTATTCTTGGAAAGTTCTTTACAGCAGATCCCATTTTGTTCAAGAGATTACATCTACATACATTGGACCTGCAAGTCACTATTTAACCTATAACATCATCTATTTATTATACTCCAGGCGGCTGACATCCCAGTGGACTTCGAGTCGTTCTTCTTCTCCGAGGTGAACCCCACGCTCAGCGCACCGCTGGAAGATGTTGTCAACTCCATCGCTAGGAACAAGTGCTGCATCAAGGTAAATAAGTTTTATTACAGTTTTTTTATATTTGATGGGCCGACGTTTGACTACTATCTCGCCTATTGGTAAGCGATGATGCGGTCTACGATGGAGCACGCCGTCCCATAAGCAACCTATTCACTCGGGCCTTGAAGACACCCAGGTTTATACCCTTCAGAAAATCATACTCTGGCAAAGATTCCACTCCTTAGTAGTACACACAAGGAAGCTTGATGCGAAGCGCTTCGTGCGTGTGGGTGGGACATCTACCATGAATCGGTGACGCTTCGCCGATTGTCTTGTGGTACGATTATGGAAAGGACTAGGGAGAATCAAGTTGTGCAATTCCCCCTAGTTCCCAGTTCAACATTAGTTGAAAGTGCAGAAAGGTCATACAAAGCGATTTATGATAAACTGCTTTTGTCAACTCATTGGTCTAAGTATTATTGAGATTATACTTGCCCAGTAACCTCACTCGCACGACGAAACACAACGCAATCGCTGTTTCACGTCGGTTTTCTGTGAGGCCATGGGATCATTTCGATCGAGCCGACGATTTCGCACCGAAATTTGACTCTCCCACACTTAAATACCATAACTACGAATCATTATTTATGTAATCTATTTCTATAATAATCTATTTCATTTTATCCTCAGGGTATTCTCGCCACCCCAGACTTCTCCCACACCGGAGAGCTACAAACCTTGAACATGAAGCTCCGTAACGCCTTGGACTTGTACGCTAACGTGGTACACGTCAAGTCATTGCCCAACGTGAAGAGCAGGCACCGTGATGTCGACTGCATCATCATCAGAGAACAAACTGAGGGAGAATACTCCGCGTTGGAACATGAGAGTGTACCTGGTAAGTACTAGTTAATCGATTTTTCACTCTTTTACCGTAATGTAAGGTCGAAAATACATTAAACTCTTAAGAGAAGGTTTTAGAGCGTACCTATTAAGGACTTGTCAATAGATTTTTCACTTTATTACAACATGGCAAGGTCGAAAACCCATGTTCTAAATGGTCAGAGCGGTTTGTGCTGATGTCTGTACTCACTTTTATTATTTGTTGCACTTCTAGAATTAGATGAAATTACACGTAATTTTAATGAAAATAAGGTCTATTTTAGCAGCATTAAACCTAAATACCGTTATCTCATATTACAGGAGTAGTAGAGTGCTTGAAAATCATCACGGCAGCTAAGTCGGAGCGTATTGCAAAGTTTGCCTTCGACTACGCTGTAAAAATGGGACGTAAGAAGGTCACAGCCGTACACAAGGCTAACATCATGAAGCTTGGAGACGGACTGTTCTTGCGTAGCTGCGAAGAGGTAAGATAAGCCAGCATATACTCAAAAGAACAGTGAGGTTTTACCTTTATCTCTTTAAAATAAAAAAAAAATAAATAAAAAAAAGATACGAGCTATTTCAAGGTCTTCAACTTGATTTCTTACATGTTGTTTGGCTCCAAAAAACGAGACGTCACAATACACAATCTCGTACAAAATTCATAGAAAACTGTCGTTCTTCTAAGTTCGAAAAAAGTATTGAATTTGAATCATAAGTCTATAAGTCACTACTGCCCGAATACTGAAACGTTGCTCAAATTTAAGTCACACTTAAGTATAGTTCTGTCACCACTAATTCTTTGTGAAATGACAGAGATGGTACGATATTTAAGCACGACTTAAAATTGAGTAACGTTTCAGTATTCCGGCATACGTCTTCTCAAGGTGGGTTGGCGATTTAAACTTATAACTCAGGATTAACGGAAATCTTTTCCAGATGGCAAAATTATACCCGCGTCTCCAATTCGAGAAGATGATCGTGGACAACTGCTCCATGCAGATGGTATCGAACCCCAATCAGTTCGATGTCATGGTGACCCGAATCTGTACGGTAACATTGTAGACAACCTCGCCAGTGGCCTGGTCGGCGGAGCGGGAGTCGTCGCCGGCGCATCATACAGTGCTGAGTGCGCTGTCTTTGAACAGGTAAAGAGATTCAGTGGATTAATTCATGTTTTATTTTATGGAATATGGTCCATAATCGAGCAGACGGATCACCTGATGGTACAGCGATCTGCTTCGCCCATGGACACCCGCAACATTAGAGGAGTTTCAATAACGTGGGCGGCCCTTTGAGATCGTATCTTCGAGAAATAATGTCTATAATAATATATTTAAATTAACTTTAAATCTTCTCCAACTCAGTTTATTAAAAAACCTTTTGCGCAATTACTTGCTTGCGCAAACAGTTTGCGCAGCCCGGTTGCGCAACGGTTTGGAATAAAATTATAATAACTTGTTTTACAGTACAATAACTTAAACTATTCTTACTTAGTATAAAACAAAACCACTATAGTAAAGCTATGACTGCCTTGCTGGCCGAGTGGTCGTAAGTGCGACTGCCGGGCAAGGGGTCTCGGGTTCGATTCCCGGGTCGGACAAAGTATTACTGGGTTTTTAAATATCCTTAGTAGTAGCACGGAGTCTGGAATTGTGCCCGGTATATGGCAATAGGCTCACCCCCTATTACATGGGACTCATATAGTAAAAAGTGGGTGTTACATACAAGTGGGTGGTATAATATGCACCTCTGCCTACCCCTTCGGGGATAAAAGGCGTAATGTTATGTTATGTTATGTTATAGTAAAGCTAGTACCTAATATAATTAAAAATACGAATAAAGTATAAACTGTTTGCAGGGAGCCCGTCACATATTCTCAGGCGCGGTGGGTAAGAACATTGCTAACCCGACCGCCATGTTGCTTTGCTCCGCCAACCTACTGGCACACGTCAACCTGCACCCATACTCCAGGATGATCAAGAATGCCATCAACAAGTATGTATGATTGTATATGTCTCCTTGGAATGCCTAAAAGACATTTTATACTGGAGAACTTAGGTTTTCGAATAGTTATTTTGTTATTTTCAGTATAAAATCTTCGAAGAGTAATTTATGTTATTTTGAATTAAAAATAATGTACTAGGTTATTTTATAATTTCGAACAATTCTTCTATCTACTCTGCCAATGTTTTAAAAATTAGGTATTTATTGTTCAGGGTATTTACCACATTTTTGTTTCTAGTGTACTTTGTATCGATTTGATACGGATATATTCGGAGTATCCGTTAGTTTCGGATAATTTCGGTTACGGATATTAAAATTTTAAGGAATTTCATAAGTAAAATACAAATAGCTAATATAATGGTTTCATTTATACGTCACGCCCCTATCCGATAGTATCCGAAATTTAATTTAGGATTCGGTTACGGTTTCGGATATTTTTTTATATCGGATATCCGATAGTTTCGGTTACGGTTACGGAGCTCCCTAACATCCCTGCTTTGTACATCCGTATTTGTTATATTACGTATTTTATTCTCCAAAGAGGTCCGATTTCAAACATATAAAGCAATGATTTATTAATATTTATATTTTCAAAATTTTTGGACAAGGCAACGAATTACATTCTACACACTTACTTACGACATATTTTTGTTCACAGGGTATTGACAGACGGTAAAGTAAGGACAAAGGACCTTGGAGGACAGTCCACCACCAAAGACTTCACCAACGCAGTCATCCACTGCCTCACATAAACCTACACTGTCTAATAGAACCAATGAAACAACAATACTTAGTACACTTTGAACTTTAATACTTGTAGTATTAGGTTCATTATTTATTGACAGAAAAATTCATTTAAAGGCGTGATTTGGGTTAAGGGAACTCTTTGGAGTTTGTGTGATAGTCAATTTAATGTTATTGAGTAATGTTTGGAATCTTTGTGACGTCACAGTATACGTCGCTAATCGAATACATTCGAAATATATTATAGAAATGTGTTAAAAATACATAGTGCAATTTCGACCGTACGTAAAAGAAATTACGGTGCCATTTTGTTTTATTGGTTCTTATAGCATAAAATCAAATCATCCCTGAACACGTTGTGTTCGTTTAACACTACATTTAAGCATTATTTATTTTTACTTTTAATGTAGAAGCAACGATCTGTGAATAGTGACATTATTACAATTCAGTATTCATTTATGTACAAGTATTTATGTAGATACAATCAATTGGGAGATGTAAATAAAACCATATTATGTACTACTAAAGGTTGTTTTTTTTTATTTTTCAACGGTACCTATTACGTATACTATATACAGGACATAACTATTAGAATAACGACAACGAACATCTACCAAGTTATATCTTCGATATTTTTGAAAAAATCACGTTTATAGTTTTTTTTTATAACTTTAACATGTTTTTTTTTCGTGTTCAATAACGTTGGTTACCGTTTTTGGTCGTTATTCGTTTTACATTCGTTTGTGGTTAAATTAGTGAAGTTAGTCTGCCGGTGGGGCAGCTCTCGCAACGGCTAGCTTCTTGGTTCTGTCCGTTATTACATACTTCAGGGCATTGGGCGCCACCTAGGCCATAATAAAAACAGATTGAGAACAATATTGTTATTTTAAATGCTCAGTAGACTCAGTAGACTGCCTCATTGGCCGAGTGGTCGTTAGTGCGACTGCCGGGGAAGGGGTCTCGGGTTCGATTCCCGGGTCGGGCAAAGTATTACTGGGTTTTTTTAAATATTCTCAGTAGTAGCACGGAGTCTGGAATTGTGCCCGGTATATGGCAAAAGGCTCACCCCCTATTACATGGGACTCATAACATAAATAGTGAACAGTGGGTGTTACATTATACAGTGGTATAATGTGCACCTCTGCCTACCCCTTCGGGGATAAAGGCGTGATGTTATGTTATGTTATTATTCTAATGTTAGCAATTGAAGAATAGTATGTATGGGTCAATTAACAGTACTGGGTATTGAGTGTGAGTTATTTTTACGTTAACGCGATCAAAATGTTATCACGGTTAGCTCTCGTGATTGGTTGGTAAATTTGAGTCAGCCAATAAGAGCTCCGAACGTCACAAACGCGTCGATCGCAAAGCGAATTCGCACTACGCTCTCTGATATAAAGTAAGTTACACTGCATACCTATGTGGTATATACAACGCAATGTCACCACACTAGTGCTTATTTCTTCGAGAAGTTGTATGTTACAAATATATCAAAAGTCCTTCCAATTGAAATAAATGATTTTGACTTTGACTTTGCAATACGAGATGGCGCTGTATACCTTCAATGGGTTCCTATACCAGGCTTCTTGCGACATTCTCCTGTAGCACTTGGAGCTGGGCGGTACGCTCATTTCCTCGATCCTCGGCATCAGAGCTTCCAATGGCATACTTTTACCTCGCTGTAATAGTTAACAATTTCAGTATAAACACATTTCTTCGCAGTTAAGTCCTTTTGACCACTGTTTACGAATAATATTGAGAAGTAAATTAGTAAACGAAATATTCGCGGTCCAGAGTGCTATAATGGTGTAGATAAAACTATCGTCTCTTATTTACTTAGGCAAGAAATTCATCTGTCTTGAATTCTGTAAGGATTGGATAAACACTAAAGCATTGGATTTGGCGCTAGTGTAGCTTTGGCGCCTTATTGATAACTCATAGATAAATAATCATAGTTTATACGAAATATGTATCTTAATGTATTTACCCATAGCTATTTATTTTACTTGGGCCATAATTATTTGATATAAAAGATTTAAATAAAATTTATTATGACTTACATAAAATGAGATGCATAATAAAATAGAGTCCTTACCTTTACCGGTGGTGGCTCAAACACCTTTTTAGGTTCAGCAATTTGTGAAATGTATTCCATTTTCCTTTTCCACTCTGTATCGGTCCAACCTTTCTTCTTTTTTAAATCCCTGCCATCCATTTTCTTAAGGTCTATCGTACAATTAGCCAGCTTCGAGTAAACCGTCCCATTGGACGCTTCAATCATTCTGTCTATACGTTCCAGTCGCTCTGAACTGAATCTATTTTTGTACATCCTTTTCAAGATTAATAAACGTCTAGAAAATGTAATTTTGTATTAAACGGGTTGTTTTGTTTACATAAGTACATGAAATATCGCGCAGGCTACATCGCCGTGACCGCTCACGCTGCTCATGAGGAGGAGTCTCTTTGTGACTCGAACCTATTACAGCTTTTCTCAGTACCTATATTTAAATAGTTAATTCAGTATGCCTCACGATAGTTATTAAAAAACGTGAAATAATAACACTGTATTTTTATTTTATAAATGTAGGCGCCACTGACAAACAATGAAGGACAGCAGCACCATGAGGAAACCTCGATGAATAATTTCTGACTACAACTTTGAAATTGCAAATCCATCTTGAGTAAGTCTGGTTGTTAGTGCTCAAACCTTTTCCGTGTGAGGAGAGGCTATTGTTCCGCAGTGGGACAGTGTCAGGCTACTGATGTGTAAATAAATAATTTCTTAAATACTTTTTTTTTAAGGGGGGAAAATCATCGAATGTTTGCTCCCGCCTGGGTGACGTGGGAGGGAGCGTCAGACTCTTACTGACTAAAAACCACCCCGTTCCTTGTCCTGCGCTTCGAGGCTGGGGCCCCGATAACCCGTTAGGTTCACCGCGACAAGTTCTTAGGTACTTAGATGCACAACACGAATAAGAATTCACTAATCAATAAGCAGCAGACAAGTTTCTGAACAGCCTTGGCTTATCATGTCAATTATGTGGTAGATATTAATATCTTAAAAAAACAAATTAAATATTTTTTGTGGGGTAAAATCATCTAATGATTCCGCCTTGGGTGACACGGACTAAAAAAACCACCCCGGTCGTATTACTTCGAGTCGGAGCCCCGGTAACCCGTTAGATTTTCCGCAGCTCCAGGGTCCAGCTGTAGGTACTGAGCCTCATCTATGGTGGTCTGATGGCTTTTTGAAACGCGCGCCAAACGCGACGCGCCGTATGTTTTTTATTTTTTTGGATAATAAAGTAAATATGCGTTTAAAACTTGACACATTTTCAAGATGACAAAAATACAGTTTCTCTGTTATGAATAAACAAACCCAAAAACCTTACCTAATAGACGGCCAAGCTATGTCGGCACTTTTGTCAGCAAGTCGCCCGGTCAAAGCAGATTGCCTTGTGCCTGTCTTCGTGTACTGCGGCATTGATCCTTCGTAGCATTCCATGTAATACCTCCTCGGTACGCTAAGGCACTGAATTCGCCTCGGAATTTTATAAGGAAACGAGGAGTGTGGCATTTCATATTTAGTACCCATTTTGCTAACTGTTAAGAGAGTTACCCAGTTGTAGTTGGTTGATGGTTGTTACTGCTATAATTCTAATGTTACATGATTGTTTTAATGATAATATTATTATTTCGTTTATGTGGCTCTGCTATCCATTTTGTAGTGTTTTTGACATTGATGTGACGTGACAGCATATTTGGCAAAGACACATTGAGCGTGAATTTTTTGTTTTCTGTATGGAGTAAGGGGATAAGGAGACTGCTTTGGAAATCAACATGATTGTTGGTACGAAGTAGGCATACAGACTAGTAGGACAAGATGTACCCAAGATGTAGGTACCTATTAAGTAGATGGTAGGTAAGGTGCTGGACTGCTGGTGCTGTGTCGAACTAAACAACGGGTCGAGCCAAGCATAGAATCAAATAATAGGTAAGTTGTGTGATTATGTTCCAAGGTATTTGATATAGTTACCTAAATCATTTCATTTCATTTTTTTTTCATTTTTTAAGAAAGAAAAACATTTCCCCACACTAGGATTTTGTCCTGTGTCGTGGGTGCGTTTACAAACATACAATTTCACATACACACACACACACACCCAGACCCGAAACAACAATTTATGGATCACACAAAGTGTTGTTCCGTGCGGGAATCCAACCCGCGGCACGTTGCACGGCAGCCGGTTGCCCAGCCACCGCACCAACCTACAATACCACCAAAATACATTATCTTAATATTTAGACTGCACTCTAAATATTAAGATAATGTATTAACTGATCAATCCCCAAACGGTCACCAGTGACTAACTCTACTAACTAACACTAACTCTATTATAGACCTTATTTCCGATGTTTAGAGACTACTTTTGTATTAACAAAGTTTGGAGATTTATATGAGGTGATAGTGTACGAGTTAAATTGGATGCAATATTTTCACAGCTTTAGTCTCTGGATCAAAAAATCAAATAAAACAACAAAACTGTTCTTAAAAAACTTTCGTCTTAAAAGTATATTGATCTCACACAACTTCTACTTAGTGTACTAATTATATTCAGACCAAGCCCGCGATGGTCTAACGAAGACTGGAGCTGCTTTGTAAATATTAACTTTAGACATGTCGAAATTGGGTCGAAAACCAATTAGCCCACCAGAATACTTTGGGGTGTACTGAATAGTCTTTATTTTCGACATATCTTCAACGTGAAAACATTGATATTTATGAAGACTAGCTTCGTCAAATCCGAGAAAACTGAATTCCCATGCTAACAAAAATTAAATGCTTTTGTAGTTTGAAGCATGTTTATCTTTGAGAATATTGTTTGGTTTGGTTTTGGATAGACAAGTTATACAGATGCTTCGTTCCTAGTCAATAACTTCACTTCACTTTAGCAGTATTCACATGTGTACGATTGATACGGTAGGTTGATGAAGATGACAGTAGGTCTTCACTAGTGATGCTTTTCAGCCTTCATGTAAACTCCTCGGAGCGGCTAGCTTCTTAGTTCGATCTGTGATTTGGTACTTCAGGGCAGCGGGTTGTACCTGGTATAGAAATAATATAAAGGTTTATTTATGATCTCAGAAAAAATATTTACAGCGTGGTCCGACTCCCACATTAAAAAAACTTTGCGAGATCAATATGTTAGAGTAGAAAAAAAAATATTCACCTTAATTGGATCCTTGTACCACACTTCCTTCGACTGTCTTCTGTAGCATTTGAAATCAGCCGGAGACGATATCTCTTTGATCCTTGGCAACAGGGCTTCAAGGGGCACGGACTTGCCACGCTGCAATGTTGATGTTATGTGTCAGAAAGAGGACTAAACTGTGTTCTACAATATTTATAGAAACACTAGGACCCCTTAGATTACTGGTTAGGTTAGCCAGCGTTTAGAAAAGCGAACAGACTGTAGAATCATCGGACCCAGTTAACCTTCTTTTCCTTTCAAATTATGAAAGGTCTTCGAGTTTAATTCCCGATTAATTTCTACGTATCACTACTTAAAATTAAAATACAGGCAATTAACAATATTTTGGCCGTACCGCTCATCAGTTTTGACCCCCGATGATCATTCAAATCTTCGCAATACATAGTTACATACCTAGCTATTATTTATGACTAACCTTTACAGGCGGTGGTTGAAACTCTCTTTTAGGTGCAGCAACCATTGCAAGATAATCCATGTGTTTCTTCCAATCACTCTCAGACCATCCTTTTTTCTTCTTTATTTCTTTACCTTCCTGCGGCTTCTTTAGGTCTACGGTACAGTGGGCTAACTTTGAGTAGAGGGTCGCATTACTCGCCTCAATCATTCGGTCAAGTTTTTCCAGACGTTCTTGATCGAATTTGTTTCTGTACATCTTTTTGACTAGTATCAAACGCCTGGAACAATAGATGGGAGTGAGTGGGGTTATTACAAACTGAGATTAATTCTATGGGTAAATCAATTTACTTTGTTTCTCAGTATTTGACACAGAAACATAAACACGGTAATGAAAGTAAATGTTTCTAGTTTTATATGAACATACCTGAGCCATGGCCATGCGATATCATTAACTCTATCGGAAGGTTGCCCATTTAAGGCGGATTTTCTGATCCCAGATTGTGTGTAGCCAGGTCCATCCGAGGCTTCAATGAAACCTCTTCGTGGCCTGCTTAGAGCATTCAGCCTCTTAGGTATTGTGTAGGGGAAGCTGGCGGTTGGATGATCCATTCCCAAATATTTCCCCATGGTGATAGCTAGCCGTTGGGAGATTTACATAAGACTGTTACTTATGGAATTACATGTTTGTTTTATCCATCATTTTAAGTGATTTAAGTATTTTTGTCCATTTTTATTGCTTTGTTATTTGATATGTTGGTTGACTGACGTTGTCAGTCTCAAAGGTCAATCCGTGCCCGAAGTGAATTTGACAAATGTTTTCGAAATAAGATTTTAAGTTCTTTTATTGTAGGAGTAAATAAGGTTGGTTTTCAAAATCAAACCGAATCCGTAAATTAATTTAGGCCCACTGCCATTTTCGTGCTTCATACCTAAAGGTACCTACAATTTGCGACCATTAGCTTAGTAGCACTTAGTAGAAACAAAATATAAGTAGGTACGTTACCAACTGGTAAAAATAATAAAAAGACATGTTAGGTATAGTAAAATTTATTTATAATAATTAATATTTACAATTTTGAGTGTGAACAGTGAATGAGGAATAATAGATGACCATTATTTTCTATTAATACAAAGAATTCTTGCCAAAACTATTGAAGTTGCCTAAACAGAAAGGTTTAGAGTATTTATGAAAGGGCTCCACTCCAGTTATGTAGAGTTGGTGCCATCATCAGTAACATTCCATTCTACCACCTCGGCAGCTGCTGTACCCGCTGTGCCCGTGAGCTCTGCAGCACTCGTCCTTCTCAGCATCGATGCGGGAGCAGACCTGGTCGCAGGGGCCCACTCGGACGGCGCCGACGGAGGCCAACATGGCGAAGGCAATGAGGAGCAGGACGAGGGTGGTCTTGAGAGCAGCCATTGTACTGGAGTACTTGATGTCGAGAGACGATTGCAACGAGACGAAGTTGTGTGAACTGTGAAGCTTTAACAATGTCGCTCCGTATTTATACTCTAAGTCTGGTCGTAGATATGCCACTAACCAGTTGTTTGTTTAATTTTTATTATGTGTAGGCGCTTACCTGAACAGGACAATTTTAGAAATAATTAGTTTTCCTTGAATGATTTTGTTTATGGTTTGTGGTTTCATTCAATGAGCGATGCAGAAAGAATATTAAAGGAATTACTTTGTTAAATTGTTATTGAATAAAAGGGTACCTAAGCGATGTTGGCATATAACATAGCTTAAAGCCGAAGTAAGTTTAACTGATGTACTAAAAAATTAAGTTTTGTTGACATAAAAGTCGAACCCCTTTCTAGAGGGTCATCAATCATCAAATGTTTATTCCCGTCCTGGATGAGAAATGGGGGAGTGTCAATCTTACTAAAGTGTGGTGGTGGAATGCGTCTCCGATACGATACCCGGCGTCCGGAGTGTAGAAAGTGAAAGTTCACCCCTTATAAAGGTAGACGGGAGGAGTCATTGGATGATTTACCCCCTTTAAAAAGGTTTTTTAATAGTGTTTGATGTTACGCCATACTCATACATAACGTCATACTCATAAGGTGAGCCTATTGCCGTATATCAGGCACAATTCCAGACTCCGTGCTACTACTGAGTTTTTTTAAAAAACCCAGCAATACTTTGAGACCGCTTACTCGGTAGTCGCACTTGCGACCACTTGGCCAACGAGGCAGTCAGTGTATACTTAGGTATACTAACTCTATATTACAAAAAGAATTAAGATAAGGCATTTTAATATTTTAAACAAATTACTTTGTCATCGTACTTGCAGTATTATAATAAACCTTGACATGTAAATAAAAATATATGCAACTATGAACTATGCATGGAACATTGCAACGGTTGGCGCAGTGACTAGGCAAACAGTAGCTGCGCATGCGCAACACATCGTAATGCAGCGAGTACGATTCCCGCGCGTAACAAATCTTTGTATGATCTACTAGCTGTTGTTCCGAGTTTGAGTGCGATGTACATGCGAATTTGTTTGTGTTGTATGTAAACGCACATATTCATGACACAGGTAAGCTTATCGTTTGTCGCGGAGAACCTAACGGGTAACCGGGGCTCCGGCTCGACGTGCAGGAGAAGGAACGGGGTGGTTTTTAGTCAGTAAGAGTCTGACACTCCCTTCCGCCTCATCCAGGTGGGAGCAGTCATTCGATGATTTTCCCCCCTTATAAAAAAACAAAAAAAAAGCTTATCGTTTGGGACTAGGTGAAGTTTTTTTAACGTAACAGTACTTTTTTTATGGCATAAGCCGGTAAACGAGCAGATGGATCACCTGATGGTAAGCAATCGACGTCGCCCATGGACACCTGGAACACCAGAGGTGTTACAAGTGCGTTACCGGCCTTTTGGGGATTAGGAGTTTGAGGATCGTTGGGGATTCAGGAATTGGGGAGATTGGAGAAGGGGAGGGTAATTGGGCCTCCGGTAACCTCACTCACACGACGAAACACAACGCAAGCGTTGCTTCACGTCGGTTTCCAGTGCGGCCGTGGTATCACTCCGGTCGAGCCGGCCCATTGAAGCATGGCTTTCCCATACTTAAAACTACTATTCCCCAAAGAATTGTTCCGTGCAGGAATCGAAGTCCTGACACGTTCAACATATACCAGTTGCTCGGCACTGCGCCAATGGTGCAGTCTATCATTAATCTACATTCTCCATGAGCGAAGCCGGGTGCTCTCCTAGTTTAACAAATAAAGTTAGTTTACCTAACCAGACTTCGTCAACGTCTGAGCAACTCTTTGTTGTGGTTACCGGTTTCTCCAAGATCTAGTTAGATGAATCAAGATCACCTCTTTCCTCCTCGAGACCACAACCCACGAGCAATTTGTATAACTCACTTTATACGTACTGGTATTTACTACAACGACAACATAACATCACACCTTTTATCCTCGAAGGGGTAGGCAGAGGTGCACTTTATGCCACTGTACAATGTAACACTCACTTTTCACTATTTGTGTTATGAGTCCCATGTAATAGGGGGTGAGCCTATTGCCATATGGCAATAGTCGGAGTCGCACGGAGCTGCCGGGCACAATTCCAGACTCCGTGCTATTACTGAGAATTTTTAAAAGCCCCAGTAATACTTTGCCCGACCCGGGAATCGAACCCGAGACCCCTTACCCGGTCATCGCACTTGCGACCACTCGGCCAACGAGGCAGTCTAAATATAAATTCGAATACAATAAATAGCAACAATTTTTTTGAGCCGAAAGTCTTCGGGTTGCTCCGTCCGCCCCTGTTTCTACTTCTGCTGTGAATGCTCTGATATGTCATTGGGCTTGACCCACAGCCCCGCTCGGGCATCGGCCCTAGTGAATCCCATTTGTACTGGTCTGAAGGCTGGCTGAGATAGCAATAATGCGACATGTATAGGTACCTACAGTAAAATTTAATGGCGTAAGCTGTAATGTTGTTTGTGTATTTTTTTATATTATCTAAATAAATAAAATGTTATTTGTCATTGATGTTAATGACTACCTCGTTGATCAAGTGGTCGCAAGTGTGACTGCCGGGCAAGGGCTCTCGGGTTTGATTCCCAGGCCGGGCAAAGAATTACTGGGTTTAAATAAAATCTCAGTAGTAGCACGGAGTCTGGAATTGCGACCGATATATGGCAATAGGCTCACCCCTTATTACATGTGAATCATAACATAAATAAATAGTGAAAAGTGGGTGTTACATTGTACAGTGACAATAAGTGCCGTAATGTGCACCTCTTCTGCTTACCCCTTCGGGGATAAAAAGCGTGACGTTATGTTATGTTATTACACATGTTACGAGTTATACCTACGTGTCTAGGGAAGGAACATGTAAGTGTGGGAGAGCCATGCTTCGGCACGGATGGGCCGGCTCAACCAGAGTGATACCACGGCCGACCAGAAAACCGACGTGAAATAACGCTTGCGTTGTGTTTCGTCGTGTGAGTGAGGTTACCGGAGGCCTAAATACCCCCCTCTCTAGTCCCCGTCTCCCGAATCCCCGAATCCTCCACAATCCTCAAATTCCCAATTCCCAAAAGGCCGGTAACGCACTTCTAACGCTTTGGTGTTTCGAGTGTCCATGGGCAGCGCCTATTGCTTCAGCTATTTTACCATCAGGTGATCCGTCTGCTTGTTTACCGGCTTATGCTATAAAAAAGGAACCTCTTCCTTAAGCCTCGCTGTGCAAAAAACACGAAACTTAACCTACATACACATGCTTTAAAGTATATCCGCCAAACAATTAAGTATTGTTTACCAATTTAATAATTTGATACGAATACGTGTTATCTCCATATTAGATCAGTTGCTCTACTTGGTATTTGTTTAAGGAAAACGAAAATCATTTTAGTACTTTTCCAAGAACCACCAAAAACATTGCTGACCTTTGCTTGTGTCACCAGGGGAAGCACCCGATTATGACGATAAACAAAAAGGCAATAAAATAAAGCAATTTGCATAATAATATGTTACGCACGAAAGCTTTTTAGTCAGACATTCAGATTACAGTGACGATCGATGTAAATATTGCGCAGTGAAATGAGACAAGACGTAAACACCAATGTTTGAGGAAAAGCATTATTTTTATTTACACAAAATTATCCTGTTCGTAATAAATAAGAAATAACCCACTAGTGACACATTCAAGACCATACCGAGTATAAATACGAAACGAAGCTGTTGAAACTTCACAGTTAACACATCTTCGTCTCGCTACAATCGTCTCTAGACATCAAGTACTCCAGTACAATGGCTGCTCTCAAGACCACCCTCGTCCTGCTCCTCATTGCCTTCGCCATGTTGGCCTCCGTCGGCGCCGTCCGTGTGGGCCCCTGCGACCAGGTCTGCTCTCGCATCGACGCTGAGAAGGACGAGTGCTGCAGAGCTCACGGGCACAGCGGGTACAGCAGCTGCCGAGGAGGTAGAATGGAATGTTACTGATGATGACACCAACTTGAACAACTCGACGAATCAACGATATAATGTTTATTCTATTACCAACATTTATACTTTTGGCTATATGTCTAAGATTTACGATAATATAGCTCCCACGTAAGTTCCACTTGGTATCTCCAAATGTATGTATACAATCAATGTTACTCAATTGTAAACAATAAACATACCTAATAAATGCCTAAGTACCTATATTTTATTGTTTTATTACCCTTCCAAAACCTAAATGAAAGTAAGTAAAATGAGTTGAAATAAAATCTAAATAGTTAATAGGTGATACATCAGATAGGTCTCTTTAACTATGTACTGTAACGGGTGTTACACATTGGGGGCTCCGGAGTTGTACCATCCAGAGCAGAGCATGAGGTGCTGATGGTGACCACCGGGGTGGTTGTGGTTTTAGTGAGGTAATAAGCCAATACTTCTAGGTTTTTACGGAGCCGCGTAGGACTTAACGTGTTACCAGGGCAGGGCTTTTAGTCAGTAAGAGTCTGACACTTCCTCTCGTCTCACCCAAGGCGGGAGAAGTCATTGGATGATTAAAGTCTAAGAAAGACTAAGAAGTTTTTTTTGAGAGGGGGGCCTCTCAAAAAATACTTCCTAGTCTTTCTCGCCAGTAAAAGTTTGACACTGTTTGAAGGATCTCCCACATCATCAGAAAAAGGTACATCATAATATATTCAGTTGGTCAATCAATACTGATGACAACAAACTAGGCTTTCTCTCATTACATGACCTATCTAAATTAGTTTAAGAAAAGCCCTGTGTAACATTTAATCGGGTACCCGTACGCGGGTCGTAAGCTAGATGTTGAGGCACACTATTGTATTAATTTACTACCCTAGATCCATCCATGACATCTAAAATGAAACAGTGAGTCATTAAAAACTAGTTTTTATGTACGTCATAATCTTGTTGACGTCACTATCACTATGAGTACCTAATATTTGTTTTGGAAACAACATATTATTGATTTAATTTACATAATATTGTGATCTTGTTGACACTAATCTTTAAATTTGATTGATTGCATTGTACTGAATATTTCTTGTCGTGTTCGTTTATCGTTAGGTATGACAAAGTTTTTATAAAAGAAAGATTCGATACATTAATCGGGAACGTCTGGAAATAGCACCCAGGCGAAGCTGGGGCGGGCCGATACTAATGTCATCTACACTAATATTATAAAGCAGAGAGTTTTGATTTTTTGTTTGAATTGAATAGGCTAGGAAACTACCGGACCGATTTGAAAAATTCTTTTACCGTTGGACTCCTTAATTTTCCCTGATGAACATAGGCTATATTTATTAAGAGAAAAAAGGGGATCATGTGAAAATTTCGATAATGTAAGATGTGTGAAAAGACTATCAAAAACCTTTGACTGCTAATACAAAACTGTTGAATGAAGGCAAATGCTGCGGGGTTTCTAGAAATTATATTTGATTAGGGATTTTAAAGAAAAAATATGAATTCAAAGAACTGAATAGAAATATATCAATTGATTCATGGACTAGCTTCTACCGACGGCTTCGCTTTTGCTCGCGCTCTTTTAACGGATGTATACTTGCCCCCTGCAAGTATACAAAATAAAAAAAATGGTGTTCATATCTTTGCTGGTAACTTAACACCTTGGTTCACGTTATTTTTTTTAATGAGATCATCAAAATTCTTTTTTTTTTGGATAGCGCTGCAAACGTGCCAGGTGAATTGCCTGAAGGAAAGATATCAACGCCACCCATAGACATTAACAACCGCAACACTTCTTGTTGTGAGGTCTTGTTACAAATACCAGTTTTTAGAGGGTTAGGTATAAGTGTGGGAGAGCCATGCTTTGTGCACGAATGGGCCGGCTCAACCGGATTGATACCACGGCCTAACACAAAACCGAGCGACGTGAAGCAACGTTTGCGTTGTGTTTCGTCGTGTGAGTGAGGTTACCGGAGGCCCAATTACCCTCCCCTTCCCCAATCTCCCCAATTCCTGAATCCCCAACGATCCTCAAACTCCTAATCCCGAAAAGGCCGGTAACGCACTTGTAAAGCCTCTGGTGTTCCAGGTGTCCCATGGGCGACGCCGATTGCTTACCATCAGGTGATCCGTCTGCTAGTTTACCGGCTTATGCCATGAAAAATGAAATGAGAAAACTACTATCAGAGGTTAGAGCGTTAATTATGATCTATTATAACCACACACCTAGAATACCTGTAAGTCTTATAAGTTATAACACCCAGGATAACGTTAAAAGAAAAGAATATAGAGGTAGAGTCAAACAAAATATTAAACCGAAATAAATTTAATTAGGAACAATTACTATATTAACAAAAACAAAACAGTTTGGAGCCTATGTTGAGCCATTCATTATTGTAGATTTTTTATCAACGTGTTAACAGGTTTTACAATTACGTAGGTAACAGGCAGCTGAGTTGTTCGAGTCGTGATACGGAAGGGCTATACTATCAGCAGAGTTGTTGGTGTCATCATCAGTAACAGTACATTCTACCGGCTTGGCAGCTGCTGTACCCTTTGTGCCCGTGAGCTCTGCAGCACTCGTCCTTCTCAGCGTCGAAGAGGCGATGAGAGCAGACCTGGTCGCAGGGGCCCACACGGACGGCGCCGACGGAGGCCAACATGGCGAAGGCAATGAGGAGCAGGACGAGGGTGGTCTTGAGAGCAGCCATTGTACTGGAGTACTTGATGTCGAGAGACGATTGCAGCGAGACGAAGATGTGTTAACTGTGAAGCTATACCACTGTCGCTCCGCATTTATACTCGGAGTCTGATCGTAAGTGTGTCACTTGTTGTATGATTTGTTTTTTAGTTTATTACGCTCCTACTTACTTAAAAAGCATAATTATGTTAATAAATAAAGAAATAATTGTGTGAGCCTATTGCCATAACAATTCCAGACTCCATGGCACAATTCCAGACTCCATGCTACTACTGAGAATTTATAAAAGACCCAGTAATACTTTGCCCGACCTGGGAATTGAACACCTTGCCCAGCAGTCGCATTTCCAACCCCTCGGCCGACGAGGGAGAAAGTTATTAAATTCGGCCATAATAAGTCAGGCATTAACGACACCCAGGTTAAGCAGGAATGTAAAATTTTTCCTCATTACCTATCTATTGCACATAGGACATACCATAAAGTTGTTATAGTCTTGAATCAGGTAATTAGACTTCGGGGAAACCAGAACAAAGAGTTTCTTAGACATTGAGGAAGTCTAGTCAGGAAAACTAACTGTATTCACTAAACTAGTATTGCACGCAGCTTCACTCGAGATTTAGAATAATCCATTCAAGTAATCAAGTATTTATAGCAGCCATAATGTACACATACAGGTAGTTAGGAAATACAATAGTAACAATTACGGACCCTGTCGGACACAGCAAAATTTAAAGTTGGTAGGAGAGAGGAAGGGCGGCTTTGTTGATATTATTCTTTTCTTTTCATTGTGAGCGAACATTCATATTATCTTATATAGGTAAACGTGTATTAGTGCTTTAAATTTTGCTTTACCTTCTACGAGCCGTACGTATTATAATAATTTCGTTCGTCGACAGCTCGACAGCAAATAATTTAAAAAAGAGAATCGGACATCTAGATCCAAATAATAAAATCTCAGAAACTAAAAACAAACATATGCCACGCCATGCAAGGCCACACCATGCCACGCCATGGCGTGCCACGCCATGCAAGGCCATGCCATTCAAGGCCATGCCATGCATGCCGTGCCATGCAAGACCATGCCATGCCACGCCATGCAATGCCACGCCATGCCATGCAACGTAATGCTATGTCATGCCATGCCATGCAAAGTCATGCCATGCCATGAAAAATAAAGCCATGCCATGCCATGCCATGCAAGGCATTGCTATGCAAGGCAATGCTATGTCACGCCATGAAATGCCATGCCACGCCATGCAAGGTCATGCCAGGCCATGCAAAACCATGCCACGCCATGCAATGCCATGCCATGCAAGGGCATGCCAAGCAAGGTCATGCCAGGCCATGCAAAATCATGCCATGCCATGCAAGGTCAAGCCATGCAAAATCATGGCATGCCATGCCATGCCATGCAAGGTCATGCCATGCAAGGGCATGCCATGCAAGGGCATGCCATGCAAGGTCATGCCATGCCATGCAAAGTCATGCTATGCCATGCAAGGTCATGCCTTGCCATGCCATGCCATACCATGCCATGCAAGGCCATGCCATGTCACGCCATGCAAAGCCATGCCACGCCATGCAAGGTCATGCCAGGCCATGCAAAGCCATGCCACGCCATGCAAGTTTATGCCAGGCCATGCAAGGTCATGCCATGGAAGGTCATGCCATGCCATGCAAAGTCATGCTATGCCATGCAAAGTCATGCTATGCCATGCTACGCCATGCAAGGTCATGCAACGCCATGCAAGGTCATGCCAGGCCATGCAAACCCATGCCATGCCATGCAAGTAGGCCATGCCATGCAATGCCATGCCACGCCATGCAAGGCATGCCACGCCATGCAAGGTTATGCCAGGCCATGCAAGGTCATGCCATGCAAAGTCATGCTGTGCCATGCAAAGTCATGCTATGCCATGCAAAGTCATGCTATGCCATGCAAAGTCATGCTATGCCATGCAAAGTCATGCTATGCCATGCAAGGCATGTCACGCCATGCAGGGTTATGCCAGGCCATGCAAGGTCATGCCATGGAAGGTCATGCCATGGAAGGTCATGCCATGCCATGCAAAGTCATGCTATGCCATGCAAAGTCATGCTATGCCATGCAAAGCCATGCTATGCCATGCTACGCCATGCAAGATCATGAAAGGCCATGCAAGGTCATGCCACGCCATGCAAGGTCATGCCAGGCCATGCAAAGCCATGCCACGCCATGCAAGGTCATGCCACGCCATGCAAGGTTATGCCAGGCCCTTCAAGGTCATGCCAGGCCATGCAAAGCCATGCCACGCCATGCAAGGTCATGCCATGGAAGGTCATGCCATGCCATGCAAGGTCATGCCAGGCCATGCAAAGCCATGCCACGCCATGCATGGTCATGCCAGGCCATGCAAGGTCATGCAAGGCCATGCAAAGTCATGCCATGCCATGCAAAGTCATGCTATGCCAAGCAAAGTCATGCTATGCCATGCTACGCCATGCAAGGTCATGCAAGGCCATGCAAAGTCATGCCATGCCATGCCAGGTCATGCAAAGTCATGCCATGCTATGCAAGGTCATGCCATGCCATGCAAAGTCATGCCATGCTATGCAAGGTCATGCCAGGCCATGCAAAGTTATGCCATGCTATGCAAGGTCATGCCATGCCATGCCAGGTCATGCAAAGTCATGCCATGGCATGCAAGGTCATGCCAGGCCATGCAAAGTCATGCCATGCCATGCCAGGTCATGCAAAGTCATGCCATGCTATGCAAGGTCATGCCAGGCCATGCAAAGTCATGCCATGCCATGCCAGGTCATGCAAAGTCATGCCATGCTATGCAAGGTCATGCCAGGCCATGCAAAGTTATGCCATGCTATGCAAGGTCATGCCATGCCATGCCAGGTCATGCAAAGTCATGCCATGGCATGCAAGGTCATGCCAGGCCATGCAAAGTCATGCCATGCCATGCCAGGTCATGCAAAGTCATGCCATGCTATGCAAGGTCATGCCAGGCCATGCAAAGCCATGCCACGCCATGCAAAGTCATGCTATGCCATGCTACGCCATGCAAGGTCATGCAACGCCATGCAAGGTCATGCCAGGCCATGCAAAGCCATGCCATGCCATGCAAGTAGGCCATGCCATGCAATGCCATGCCACGCCATGCAAAGCATGCCACGCCATGCAAGGTTATGCCAGGCCATGCAAGGTCATGGCCATGCAAGGCCATTCCATGCCATGCAAGGCCATGCCATGCCATGCCATGCCACGCCATGCAAGGCATGCCACGCCATGCAAGGTTGTGCCAGGCCATGAAAGGTCATGCCAGGCCATGCAAAGCCATGCCACGCCATGCAAGGTCATGCTATGCCATGCTACGCCATGCAAGGTCATGCAAGGCCATGCAAAGTCTTGCCATGCCATGCAAAGTCATGCTATGCCATGCAAAGTCATGCCATGGCATGCAAGGTCATGCCATGCCATGCCAGGTCATGCAAAGTCATGCCATGCTATGCAAGGTCATGCCATGCCAAGCCACGCCATGCAAAGCCATGCCACGCCATGCCACGCCATGCAAGGTCATGCAAGGCCATGCAAAGTCTTGCCATGCCATGCAAAGTCATGCTATGCCATGCAAAGTCATGCTATGCCATGCTACGCCATGCAAGGTCATGCCATGCCATGCCAGGTCATGCAAAGTCATGCCATGCTATGCAAGGTCATGCCATGCCATGCCACGCCATGCAAAGCCATGCCACGCCATGCAAGGTCATGCCAAGCCATGCAAAGTCGTGCCATGGCATGCAAGGTCATGCCATGCCATGCCAGGTCATGCAAAGTCATGCCATGCTATGCAAGGTCATGCCATGCCAAGCCACGCCATGCAAAGCCATGCCACGCCATGCCACGCCATGCAAGGTCACGCCAGGCCATGCAAAGCCATGCCACGCCATGCATGGTCATGCCAGGCCATGCAAAGTCATGCCATGCCATGCAAGGTCATGCCTTGCCATGCAAAGTCATGTCATGCCTTGCCATGCAAAGTCATGCCATGCCATGCCATGCCATGCAAAGTCATGCTATGCCATGCAAGGTCATGCCATGCCATGCAAGGCATGCAAGGGCATGCCATGCAAGGCCATGCCATGCCATGCAAACCAGAGTACAAAGTGCAGCGGTAACAAAGTAAAAAACGAATTTCCATTATGTTGCACCAAATGCAAAATCAATCGGGAGTGTCGTTCAAAAGCAGCAATCCATTCCTCATTTTACGAAACTACAGTTTTGGGGTGCAAAGTTTAATTTCTTTTATGTACCTGAGTTTACACTCGTTTCATTGTATTCGAAAATGATTTTCGACATTTTTAGAAAAATGCATTAATTTTTTACTACTCTAGTACAGCGGTTTTGACAATCAAATGTGTCATCAAGTTTTGATGCTGACTGACTGTACGTGCTTCCGATACAGCCAATAAGGGGTTGACGCGGTCGAAGTTGGTATGTTTTTTTTTTAGTGGAGAAAATCATCGAATGACTGCTCCCGCCTTGGTGAGGCGGAAGGGAGTGTCAGACTCTTACTGACTAAAAACCACCCCGTTCCTTCTCCTGCACGTCGAGCCGGAGCCCCGGTTACCCGTTAGGTTCTTCGCGACTCCGAGGTTCTTCGCGACTCCGAGAAGTTGGTGTGTAAAAGATACGGGTTTAATTTAAGGCACCCGTATGTATAAATTCATGAAATGGACTTAGGCACATATTTTCATTTATCTTCGCAAGTACTAGGAAAATGACTGGCTATAAACTAACTTAACAGATCTGTATGATGGCATTCAATAGATGTACCACAAGAAACACTAATTCGTGCCTTACATTTAGTTCTTTAGTAAATAAATTATCCCACATAACATAACATCACGCCTTTTATCCCTAAAGGGGTAGGCAGAAGTGCACACAGAAGTTACACCCACTTTTCACTATTTATGTTATGAGTCCTATGTAATAGGGGGTGGGCCTATTGCCATATACCGGGCACAATTCCAGACTCCGTGCTACTACTGAGATTTTTTTTAAAACCCAGTAATACTTTGCCCGACCCGGGAATCGAACCCGACACCCTATGCCCGGCAGTC